TGTAAACATCTGATCGTCTGTTAAACATCTGATCGTCTGGTAAACATCTGATCATCTGGTAAACATCTGATCATCTGTAAACATCTGATCATCTGGTAAACATCTGATCATCTGGTAAACATCTGATCGTCTGTTAAACATCTGATCGTCTGTTAAACATCTGATCGTCTGTTAAACATCTGATCATCTGTAAACATCTGATCATCTGTTAAACATCTGATCATCTGTAAACATCTGATCATCTGTAAACATCTGATCATCTGTAAACATCTGATCGTCTGTTAAACATCTGATCATCTGTTAAACATCTGATCGTCTGTTAAACATCTGATCGTCTGTTAAACATCTGATCGTCTGTAAACATCTGATCGTCTGTAAACATCTGATCATCTGTAAACATCTGATCATCTGTAAACAGGAAGAACTGTTGGAGGTGTTGGATCGACCGTCTGTTCTTCGTCAGGTTCTGACTGAGGGTCTGACTGAGGGTCTGACGTTTGTGAACAGATCTTAGTGAGACTCAAACAGAATCATTTCTTTTCTCAACGGATGCGGCCCGGCAGGACCAGAACACTGGTTGGTTCTGCTGCACATCCTTCTTTCTGACAGAACCCAGGCCCGTAAGTGTCAGACCACCAACACCTCGGAGCAACACAAACACAACCGGACAGCAGGTTCTGCAGCAGCTGTCAACACCAGACAAAGACTTTCCCTGTTCTCTTCATCACCTCCCACTGCTGCTGCGCTCCGGCCCTCTGCTGGTCAGCTCACAGGCACGCTCTTTACTTTATTACTTACTTGTTTACAAGAAGTTTTAACAGATAAAAATGAGTTAAAATGAAATAAAACATTATGAAGTTAGTTTTTTTTTAATTTTGTATTTATTTCCTCAGACAAATGGTTTCACTTGGTTTGGTTTGATTTCCTCTCATTACTGATAAACTTTGATTTAAATCTTTTTATTTCTTCATTTAAAACCATCCATCTGTTTAAACAGCTTAAATAAAATAACACAAACTTCTTGTTGTCACTTCTTAAAAACAAAACAATAAAAATACAGACCAGACCAGACCGAACCGGACCAGCTTTGGGAGGAAAAGCACCTAAAGTCCAAACAAAAGCCTGGAGAAGAGCTGATCAGAACCACAGGACAGAGAATATAAACAGACGAGGACTGGATCAGGACTTTTGCACCGTTTTGTGACCAATCCTTAGATTAAAAGCATAAAAAAGGTTTGAGGCTGATAAATGGTTCTGACGTGAAGAAGAGTTCTGGTTCTGTTCTGGAGCATTGGGCTCATTAATAACGTCGGAGATCCAATCTGAGTGAAACCATGTTTGAACGGCAGCCAGGCGCTCAGAACCTGCCGGGTTCTGCTGAGTCATCACAACAAAGCAAATGCGCTGCTCCGGATCATCAGAACCCTGACATACGGGCCGGTATCAGATGGCTAATTTAGACCCAGGCGAGGATGAGGAGAGATGATGAAGAGGCGGATTGGTTTTATGACTCAGACAGAACAAATGAGACGTTTTAAAACTTTGTTCTCATAAAACAAAAGAATTTACCAAACAGAGGATTTTCTGTCAATTTAGGACT